GTACTGTGCCCCGGATTTCCCTGCCTCTTGCTTCTTAGCCTTTTCCTCCACACGCGTCACTACTGAGCCCTGCCCAGCCTTAGTTTTTCCCTCCTGGAGGGACCGTACACTCTCCTGCCCATCCCTGTCCCGCTCCTGGATTCAAGCCTGGCAGATTAACCAACCCTGTCGCAGGGATCTGACAGACATCGTGGCCACCAGTGAGTCCCACGACAGCCACAGAGTGGCAGCAGCGTGTCATTTGGACTCGTCAGTCTCATGATGAGCCTGTGGGGTTCCATTTACCAAAGGGAAAACAGGCCTGGAAAGGGCACAGCCGGTTCTAGGTCCCTGCAGCCCCCGCTCTCACCTGCCACACCGCTCCCTTCTGGCACAGAAGGGGGTACTGATCTTGGCATTCCACCTCGGCAGAGGGTCAGGGCCTTCCTAGTGCTGACAGTGGGTGCCACCGCCCCTGAGGCCTGGCAGGCGGGACTGGGTGTGCGTTTGTTGAATGACTGCTGTGAACAGGTGCTGTGGGGGAACCCACCTGCCTCTGCCTCCACTGACCACACAGTGTCACCACAGAACAGTCGCAAACCGGGGTTGCTGAAAAGGAAATGGATGACAAGAGGAAAGGCCTCTGTCTTCCTGAGAGCAGTGTCACCTGGCCAGGGACTTAAAGGCTGGTCAGGGGGAACAGTTTGCACAAAGGCCCAAAGGCAGGACAGGACTTGGCTGGTTCCAGGAAGTGGGGTGGCTGTGGTGGAGGGGTGAGGTGCGGTGAGCCAGGGGCTGCTGGGCTCTGTCCAGGGTGCTAGGGAGCCATGGAAGACTGTATACAGGGGAGGGGCCTGGAGAGAAGAGGAGAGAGCAGAAACTGGGCTGCTGGGGACAGGAAGGAGGTACAGGGTTGGGGCCGACTCTTCCTTTGGCCCCGTCTCTGGCCTGGCCCTGAATGTCACTGCTCCTGACGCTCCATCTCAGGACCCCCAAGGGAGCAGGGGTGTGCAGGATGTGGGGACCCTGGCCAGTGGTGAGTGGGGGCTGATGCTGGCTGGGCCAGCTAGCGAGGTGACCTCGGCTTTGGTCCAGAAGTCGAGGCAGAGGGCCTGGTTGTGCGAAACCCCAAATCCCTGCGCTCGGCTGACAGATACTGGGAGGCCACCGGGCCCAGCTGTCTGCCAGGCCATGGCGGGGCGGGGCCTGCTGTGTCCTGGTCTCCCCACTCCTCTGGAAAGGAGCCAGGGCCCTGCTTCCCACTGAACTGAGGCTGGGGCAGGGATTGAGGACCACAGTCTTCACTCTAGAGGAGCAGGCGGACAGGAAGCGCTTCTGCAGTAACTGGGGCAACCTGCAAAGGCCCTGAGGTAGGCTGTGCTTGGAGCCTTGCAGGATGGCAAGGTGGCCAGTGTGGCCGGAGTGGAGGGGCCCAAGGAGGCCAGGAGAGGACAGGATGGCAGGGGTCACAGCTTTGCTTTCACACAGACATCTGAGGCTGGCAGCCCGCCCCCATAATGCTGTGTCTCTCTCCCTTCTCTCCATCCGCAGGCCCCGTGGAGAACTGATTCCCCAAAGACCTGACCCCCCTGCACCCCCAGAAGAGGGGCTGAGAGTGGAATCCTCTGTGGATGACGGAGCCACTGCCACCACCGCCTCCGGGGAGGCTCCTGAGGGTGGACCCTCCCCCTCCCCCACCGCGTGCCAAATGGGAGGCCCTG